AAATTGGTGTCAATCAACTCAACTATGTTTTGCTGCTTTGAAGATATTAATGACATTTTAAAGGTCAAAAGGTCAACCGGGCCCCTCACTTTTACAAAACCAAAATGACCTTTAAAATTTCATTGATCCATGGGTGGATGGATGGATGGTTGGATGGATGGATGGTTGAATGGTTGAATGGATGGTTGGATGGAATAGGGACCAAAGTTGGGAAATTCCCATTTTCCCAACTTTAATTTCCTTTAATTGTTTAACCTACAAATTAATCCTTGCAAAAAAAACAAAAAAACCCACAGAATTATCTGGGTACTTGTTTTATTTCTTCCAGACATTTTAAACAATTAATCATGTAAGAACAAAAATAAATCAACACTCATAAAAAATAAAACATCTTCATTAACTTTAGCTAAACAGCAATGCTAATCAGTATTTACACAGAACTAAGCAGGTCACATCACATTATTGAAAAGATTAGTATTTTATGGAGAGTCATGTTTAATCAAATATGCATTATGCTCAGTTAAAGTAAAGTCAACTCTAGTTTATTTCTATGGCTCACTTCAGCAACAAAGCATTGAGTGCTTTACACCATACAATCAACAAATTAGGAAACAATTATAAACATTGCACTTTGTCAAATGCCTCCATATAAATCAAGAATAATCATAATTAAATATGCATCAACTATGTTAATCAGTGTTCCAGTTACTTATCAAAGGCAACTCTAAACAGGTGGGATTTTAGTCTTGATTTAAAGGAACTCAGTGTTTCAGCATCTTTTCAGTTTACTGGAAGTTTGTTCTAGATTTTTGGTGCACAGAAGCTGAATGCTGCCTCTCCATGCTTGGTTCTTGATTTATAAATTAGCAACGGTATTTCTTCTTCTTCTTTGTGGTTTTAGTGAGAACACTAACAGCAGTCATTAAAGTCACAAAAAGTTTTTCATATGTTCCACTATGGCTGAAATAATAGTAATAATAATAATACATTTGCATAATTCTAATAAAAAAAAAAGATGATTGATTTCGATTGACTTTGGAGACTGAAGATAGAAACAGATTAAAGTAATAGAAAAATCGTTAGTCAGATAACTTTTATCTTCAAGTCAGATTTTAATGACCAGATGACTTACAGTCTGGGTGTCTAATGCAGACAGAGAAAAGCAAGAGAAAAATAGTTTAGAATGCTACAAACACTAAAACAATCATAATAATCGCGAGTGCAAAAATTCCAATCCCAGTTCCCAGAGCTGAATGGTTCAGCATGAGGGCCCGTCTGCTGTTCAGCTCTGCCATCTGCCGGTCACCTCTGGCATTGGCGTCACGAGTCTGAGGGTCAGAAAAAGCAAAGAAAACAAAACGGGACACGGTTACATCTACTCTAGATGAGGGGGCATCAAACTCATTTTTGCTTTGGGCCAAATCAAGATCATGAATGTTCTTAAAGAGCCAGTCATCCCAGAATGTACTGATCAAACCCATTAACATTTAGTTAAAAAATTTATAAATATCTGTTTCTGCATTTTATAAGTACTTATTAAAATTAAATATAATTTCACATTGTTCAGTCCCTTCATGATTTTACAATTGTGATTTTTTAAAAGTTTTTTATTGCAAATAAAATCACTAATTTTGTGGGACTAATTTAGAAATGGTGTCAAGGAATTTTGCAATATTTGCGTTTATGTATGACGTTGATTGTTTACTGTCATATCGATCACAAACTAGTAACTTGACATCAAATAAGGCTGAGGCAGCGGTGTCGTGTAAGTATAAAATACTGCCACCTACAGGAAGGAGTTAGTGATCAGCTAAACCCAATATTTTTGACCATTTTTTCCCAAAATTTGCAAAACACTTACACTTATGATTAGCGGGGGAAAAAATAAGGAAATCTGTTAATTTTATGTGAATTTCCACAATCACAGAAAACTGTGCGGACTTATTGATATAATCTAGCGCCTGGAGCTTCGAGGGCCACACAAAAAGCGGTGGTGGGCCAAATTTGGCCCCCAGGCCTTGAATTTGACACATGTGCTCTAGAACCTTTTGGTCCTGAGGACAGGGACATGATGAGGCTTGGGCCCTGTTCAACATGGGATCCGGGTATTTAATGGCTCTGACTATCTGGATTACGGAAAATAATTCCTTAGACTTTACAACTCATCTGAGTTTGTCAGAACTTTGCCAAAATTATTTTAAGTAAAATTGTAATTGAAATGGTCATAAATTAGCATTTTTCTGTTCTTATTTGTATTTAATGTTAAATTTTAATGGCCTTCTTGATGTATTTCTGCATTTCCTTTCTCAGTAAAATCAATTTTAACTTTCTCGTGGTCAAATGTTGTGCTCAACATTTGCACATGGATTTGTGATTCTCTAAATACTGGTACAATAAACTATTGTGTGGCCTTCAGGGATTTAACAATAATCAAGGTAAACTTCAGCATGTTACTCAAGTGATAAATACTTTGTGGTTCTACAGCACATTGGAGCAGTGATAAAAATAAATCACAAAAACAAATTAAATACCCTGCTTCAGTGAGATTACGACTCCCAGCAACTCTACAATAAACACCAAATGCACAGAAAACCTGTGAAGTCATGATGTTCTTTTTCAGCAATATTAAAAAGCTGATTGTTTAAAGATAAAAAGCAGCCAACTCAGAGTCAAGTGAACGTTATGCAGCTTAGAGCCAGAAGTTCAAAGTCAACATGGTTTTCAGAAAATTTAAACAGACTGATTGACAAACCAACAATGATCCAAACAAAATCCCCATAAATGTGCCATCTATGCTGAAACAAATTCAAACCAACCAGACCAGAAGGCTATAGCATTTTCTGGACTATACAGCGCATTTTACTGTAAGCCGCACCTACATCTTTT